TAAAATCCTTTATTTCTCATGATAGGAGAACACTAGACATTTCACAGATACTTCAAAATTTCTCCTTGGAACATCATACAATGAAACTTAAAAAATTAATAATAAACACTTACATTTCCACATAGTCTGTGCAGCTCCTTTCCTCATCCCTCGCCCTGTCATTATAACTTGGCAAGACTCTCAGTTTACCATTCACAAATGTCTTTTTCCCTTCTTGTTTTTTGCTTTAAAATTATTTAGCATTTATTTATGAAAGCTACAACAAGACATACAAGAATGCTCTCTTTTTGATTCCTACATGCACTTGCTGTATTAAAACAAATTATGTGTTTATTGTTTGCTTTTAAAATCAATTCACTAGAAATGCATTAGAGATCTATTATGTGCAAGAAAGGTATTAGAGGGATGCTGAGGTTTGGCAGTGAGTGTGAATGTGTAAGGGATAAATGCATAAAATATGATCCCTTCTACTAATTCAGGAATAAACCAAGTACCTTTGTGCATCTGGCTTCCTCATATTGGAATGCCATTCTCCTATTCTCTAACCCCTGGAATCTCCACATCCTTCAGTTGCCTTCTTCTCTCTGAAGTCTTTCTGGAATTTTATAATCAAAGTTAATTACCCAGCTGTACTCTCAAGAGGTTATCATATGTTTATATGGCATTAATCATTTTGCCCTTTTTAATTATTGTTTTTGGTTTTATGTCTGATTTGACCCATTATATCTGTGCTGTGGCTATTCAATTTAAATTCAAGTGAAATAGTATTAAGAGTTCAGTTCTTCACCTGTACTAGCCACATTTCAATTGCTAAATAGTCCACTTTTCTCTAATAGTTACTATGTTGGTGATCAGAGACTTAGACCATTTCCACTATCACAGAAAGCTCTATTGGACAGTGCTACTCTAGATTGTGCATGCCTTTGAAGACAGTGACCATAATATTGAAACTAATAAGGTTCCAAAATTAATAAAATAATATGTCTAGAGAGGTATATTACAGTGGTGGTGTCGGACAAGAAGCAGGATCAAGATTGTTTGGCAAATAGACACAGAGCTTTGTGTTATCTTAGGTGGGTTCTGTTATATTTGAGAAGATTGCATTCTATTTTAAAGAAAGGCATGCATCTAAAATAAATAAAGATATCAGGAATTTAAAACACCATAAAAATCATATAGAACACATGCCTCAAATTTTAATAAATGTGGCCACAGTGAAGTAAATGCATTAGAGACATAATATCAGATTTTTTCTATCAATCCAAATACCCATAATATCTAGTCTACATTCCTATTCAATATTCTTTAGAAAAAGATTGTTGTAATGGCCTTCAAATGTAAGAATTCTAAGAAATTCTGCACTAATATCAAAGAAATGAGCACATTTATTCTTTACTCATACAATGAAAAATTAAGTTACTGCATTCAATTGAGCTTGAAAATAACACATAAAATTATTGGTTTGATAAAATATACTCCCTCCTTTTCTAAGTGTATAGCCATATAAAGCCATCCAATTTTGCTCAATATATACATTGGTTTTCAATTTAAAGATTGTCCATAAAGTAATATGAATATTCTGCAAGGGGAATAGGCCTGGTACAGAGGAAGGAGCATGGACTTTGGATTCAGACTAACTGGGCTTTCAGTCCCAGCTCTGCCACTGACTGACATTATTGTATTGGGAGATGTTTAAGTACTCCCAATCTGAGGCCACTGGACTTTACCATACAAGTTTTTTTACTGGTATATGGCCTTTCAATACTGAGTTAAAAACCTGCCTTCCAGTGAGCTTTCAGTACTCTCACCACCTAATTATAGCCAAATGACCTGGGATGTCATACTTGAGTTTTTTTGATGAATGATTTTTTTTTTTTTAATCATTGTCTGTCTTTGGATCTTATCCATATTTCTTTGGTGGCAACAGTTACAACTAAGCCAAAGTAATCTGAGCTCTCTATTCTGTTTGTTTTTGTGTTTTTATGTATATACCATCTTTTTTTTATTACTATAGTCTTGAAATAAAGTTTGAAATCTGAAAGTAAAGAAAGAAGACAAAGTAAGGACAGTTTTAATGGGTTTTAAAGACAGAGATAGCCTATGCTATGTAGCTTGAGTGTAGCTTAAAATAACACAAAGCTCTCAAAATTAAAAAGAATTTTAGAATAATATGTTCCACTTTATGTGCCAAGAACAGTACCACTGTTTGATTGGGCTGACCTGAAGAACTTTACTGTATAGTAACAACATTCACTACTCTAAGGACCTAGAGCATGGTAGAGTTATGTCCACTGGAATGTTATTATGCCAGGAGAATGGATTAACGACATTTATTTGCCTGGTGTTAGGACCCTAAATTGTAAGCAGCCCCATTCCAACACACACACACACACACACACACACACACACACACACACACACACACAAAATCTGACTTTTATTTATTTTGAACCCCTTTACAATGTCTACTTCTTTAACCATCTGATTTGCTTTGCGTGACATAGGGGCGTGGAGTGAGCTAGGTAGGTTTCTGAATCCTATGCTTTGACTATACTTAATCTGTTACCTAAATGAAAGCGTTAGGTTTCTCATCTGTGTAATAGAAATAAAAATACTTACCTTGTATGATTATTTTGTTTTGAAGTTTAAATGAGAAGCAGATGTTCTAAAGGTTACTGATGTGACACTTTCTTAGCAAGTATTAATCTTCCTCCTTCCTTACCTTTCTCAGAGTTATGTTGTGAGGATTCAGTGAACTAATGGCATATATCATGAGAGGTGAAGGGCATAGAATTTGAATCAGCTCTGAATTCAAATCTTGACCTGCTACTTATCAGCTGTGTGACCCTGGGGTATTATTTCATCTTTTAAAATACTTTTATTTTTAAATTTTAAAACGGTAATAATAACCCTAGTTCATGCAGTTTTTGTGAGGATAATGTAAAATGTATATAAATTTCTCTGGGCTAGACCTGGTGTTTTAAACTGTATTAAAACACTACTCCAGTTACTATCTGTAGTTTCACTTATGTTCAGCTTCTTCGAAGATATCTTCCAAACTAGATCATGAGTTCCTGGAGTGTTAGGAACCAGATTTGACTTTGTTGAATTCTGAAGAACCATTGGCGTAGTGCTAAGTACATTATGCTCATGTCTGTTCAACTTTTGGCCAGTAGAATAAATGCTTGGGGTTTTTTCCCTACTTAACTGTCAGTCACTATCCTTCAGATGGTCAATAGGAACAAAAGGTTTGGCTAAATTATTAATGTAAAGACAGCTGAATCAAATTCATAGGCTGTCTAAGTATAATATCCCAGCAATTGTATTGTGTGACTAGAAACTTGTAAATGATTAGTGACAAAAATTTGTCTCATATTGGTATAATATTTATCAATTTATCTCATACATAGGCAGTATCTACTGTATTGCTTTTTAAAAAAGTATGTGTGTGTGGTCTACTATTGTGTCATGTAATGCATGGCCCTGACATGTACTGAATGCTCCCTAATGACTTCATGATGACTAGTTTTAAGGAAGAAAATAAAATTTAAAAAAGGAAGTGAGCATAAGCAAAGAGGGAAGAAAGGAAAGTAATCAAGACGAGGAGATAGTGAATACCACCGGAGACTGGCTTGGTCATTGCTTTCCTAACCTTCAAATATGGATCTGTTAGTATAATTATGCAGTTTTTGTTTAAAAATACTATTTTTGTAAAGGTATCATAGCGATGACATACTTAAAAATATACTTTTTTTTCTTTTTTCTTTTTCTTTTTCTTTTTTTTTTTTTTTGAGGCAGAGTTTCACTCTTGTTGCCCAAACTGGAATGCAATGGCGCAATCTCAGGCTCACCGCAACCTCCGCCTCCTGGGTTCAAGCAATTCTCCTGCCTCAGCCTCCCAAGTAGCTGAGATTATAGGCATGCACCACCACACTCGGCTAATTGTGTATGTTTTTTAGTAGAAACAGGGTTTCTCCATATTGGTCAGGCTGGTCTCGAACTCCTGACCTCTGGTGATTAAGCTACTAAAATTAAGTATTTGGGAGCCTGAAGGATAATTTAAAAATCACGCACTGTAAGCCAACCAAGAACAGATAATCTTGAAAATAAATTTTTCCTCAATATTTTTTAAAATAATAAAATACACTGCAAAAATTTCAAGCATTTCCAAATCTTACTTTATCATGCAATATTTGCTTATGCAGCAGTGATCTTGTTGATGCTCTGTACAATCTGTCATTTTATGGATTATCCCTGTGAGGTAGATGCTAACCAGTTCTTGATAAGAGAGGCAGAACATAGAAAGTTGAATGGTTTGTCTTGGTTTCTAACAGAATAATAAACAATCAGAATAAGATTTTTATAGTGTGAGTTCTCCTGCATGATTTATCATTTTGAACTTTTTATGTGGTTCTGTCTATGGAGAAATTGAAAAGTGAGCAGATTTAGGGACTGATTGTTGTGTATACATTGTTTTCAGACCATAAGAGAGACAAAGTTCCAGTTCCAGTTATTTCTGTTTAACATTTCTCTGCAAATCAGCAAGTCTTGTTTTATCCAGGCTTGGCCAAGTTAAATATGATCCCTATATTTTTCCCTTATGTTTGGAGATCTAGCAAAATATTCATCATTACACTGTTTATTGAAGTGAAAACTTGTATGTGATTGTATGAATGCCTAATAGTCTTGAAGTAAAGGCCGTCAAATTCAGTAATGCTTGGAGAGACTACATGTATTCTTCTCTACCATATATTTATAGCATTTGTTTGCAGGGCCAACGTTTTTGTTTTAGTCCTATAGAAAAGAATTTCTTAAAATGTTTTAAGATTTTTCAATTTCTCCTTAACGTAATACATAAGCAACACTTTTTAGATAAAAGCTGTGTAAAGTTCGGAAAAGCAACAACAACAACAACAACAACAAACAATGTTATTTTCTTTTACCGTGTCCCCTGATCTCAAATCTTTTCATTTCTCTGTTTGTTTTAAATTTAATTTTAGAGGGCTGCTGAAGTATCAAACTAATTTAGATACCCACCCTCCCGGCTGCATCAATCTTAACCGAACCAGCTCTCAGAATATTTCCTTACCAGAATATTTCTCAGAACATTTTCATGAACCTTTCCCTGAAGAATTTTCAAAACCAGAAGAGTTTACCCAGAACACATTTGTGAAGATTTGTATGGAAGAGCCCAGATTCCAAGCTAATTTTCCACAGGTCAGATTAATTTTGTGTTTGATCTCCACAAAGTTTGTTTCCATTTGACTGATCAACATCACATATAAACGTGTTTTTCAAGCTATATATTCATGCATAATAGGATATTTCAGGATGTTTCAATAGTAAGTTAGTACCTAGTATTCCATTACAGGTACCTGACAGTTCAATGCAAAAGATCTATAATATTAGAGGATATATAACATTTCTACTTAACTGACCATATGACCTTTGCATACAACAGCATTGGTGCTTGCAGTCAAGAGATGACAAATATTTTTCCCATCAGTTGAGAGAAGCTGATTGAATAATAAAAATAGTAGTAAAAAAAATCTACTACTACTACCACAAATTATTATTTTATTGTATTATAATATTGTGTATAATATTGTAAATAGTAAATAGCAAAATCAATTTATTGAATGCTTAATATTATCTGCTAGGCAGTGTGCTAAAATGTCCTGTATGCCTAATACAGAACATTTATTAGACATACAGAATGTTTCTTACAATATTCACAATGACTGTTTGAAGTAATTAATATCATCCTCGATTTTCTGATGAAGAAATTGTGTTTACCTTGATCAAAGTCTCCAAACTAGTAAGTGGCAGAGCAAGCACGTAAACCCAGGTCTTTGACTAATATCCTTGCTCCTGGTAAATGTCCATAAGTATTCAGCAATTAGTTCAATAAGGGCCCTTATCTTCCTCTGTGCCTGTGGGAACTGCCCCCATGCAAATTACACCATTTATTCTTCATAAAAAGTGGAAGTAGGAAACAGTGATGTCAAATATCTCTATTAGGAAGAGAAGAAAGAGAAGTCAAAAGGTAGAATGAATTTGTAGATGACTTTGGAATAGTGTATTAGTCTTGTGTTTGTTATTATTAATAATAATCCTCTAGATCTCTATTAGCCTCTATAATTTTAGAACTTTTCTGAGTTTCACATAATATTCACAAATATTAGACAGGGCAGGTATGGTGACTCCCGTTTTGCTCACGTAGGACCTGACACTCAAAGGGTAAGTGATTGTCTCAAAGGTACGAGGCTGCTACATTGCAGACCTTGTCTTGCAATGCTACTCATAACACAGTGTGGGGCTAAATGTTATTATATGCAGAAGAGGCATGATCTGTCTGCATGAAAGAAGGAAGATTTGAAACAACTAAAGTGAGACTTGAAAAAGTGACCATTAAGACAAGTTTTAGTTGGAGGCCTCAAAGGGATGAGAGAGATAAAGTGTGTAATTTTAGGAGAACGGTAAGCCCCACAGGCTTCTGCACTTCCCAAAGTTTGCACGTATCCTGGGATCAGGGTTAACTATGCAGCACATATTCAAAATTGTCATGGTTTCCAAATTATAAATATTATTTTATGTTCTTATTGTATAGAAGTGGTAAACAACATGCCTAGAATAGTGCATTTTTAAATGCATATACATGTTTAACATATGTATACATATTATATGTATGTATCTTATGCATGTATTTTATGTACATTAAAAATCTAGGGTTTTCTTATTTAATAAACTTTAGACAGTTACTTTATTTCTAAAATTATCCCCAGGTTCATCTGAGATTGTTAACTCCCCTTTATTCTTTTATTAAATGTATTGTTTCTATGCCTACAGATATGTAATATATCTGTATATAGGTATAGGAAAGAATACACACTTATTTGTTCATGGTAGTTACATCCAGAGCGTGACATTGAGGGTAGGGTCTTTATATTACTTTCTGTTTTGTTTTATACTTTTGTTTGTTTGAATGATAGTGAGCATCTATTATTTTTTATTCATTTATTATGTTTTCTTATTTAATATACAAATTAAAATACTACTACCGTAATGCATGCAATAAGCAATTGGGCCGGGTGTAGATTTCTACAATATGAGTATTTCTTGAAGTATATTTTCAAAAATTTATCTTAGACTTGGCTTTGGATTTCTGGACCTTTGTGCCTGTACTGTGCCGAAAGACTTTACAGGTATATCCGGAGCAATAAGCCAGTCACCATCATTTCAGTCATAAGTCATCCCTCAGATGTCATGGAAATCCGAATGGTCAAAGAAAATTTTAAAGCAAGACCTGGTCAGGTGAGTCAGTGGTCAGTAACTTTTTAAATAGCCTTTATCCTTATGTAATTTTTGGAATTTAGCAAACATAGCATCATTGAGATAGTTGAAATTCTTAATTGGTCATTTAAAACTTATCTGTTTGTTGCTTTTTAGTATATTATTCTACATTGTCCCAGTGTATCTGCATTAGAAAATCATCCATTTACCCTCACAATGGTAAGAAATGTATCTCTTGCTTTTTCACATTTGTAGGGTGCTATGCATCTTTTTCTTTTTTTGTGGGTCCTATCTCATTCTAAAAGGTATTCAAGGCTATCATAGTATTCTTGGTGTTTAAGTAAGCCATCTTTTTACAAGGAAAATAGTTATCTGCTCAAGAACTTGGTAACTATTCTTTATTATTTTTTGGCACCTTACATTTCAGGAAGTAATGAATTAAAGCATATTAAAGCTTGTTGATTCAAAATGTAGGCCAAGCACAATGACTCATGCCTGTAATCCCAGCACTTTGGGAGGTCAAGGCAGGAAGACCACTTGAGCCCAGGATTTCAAGATCAGCCTGAGCAACATAAGGAGACCCCATTTCTACAGTAAATTTAAAAAAAAAAAAAAAAAAACAAACCAGGTGTGGTGGTACACACCTGTAGTCCCAGCTACTAGGAAGGCTGAGGCAGGAGGATTGCTTGATCCCCCGTGTTAGAGGTTTCACTGAGCCTTGATCACACCACTGCTCTCCAGCCTGGGCAAGACAGTGAGACCTTGTCTCAAAAAAGAAATACATATATCTGTCTATATATATCTATATATATAGATATATATAATTTCTTGAATATTTACTTTTCTCCTTTTATGGAGTATTTTAATGTATATGGAAATCTAATATTTGCACAGTTTTCTTTAGAGATGCAATTTAGGGGAAATACAGATACTCTGGGTTGAGGTGGAAGCAATAAACAAAACAGGCAGTGTTTAGAAAAGGTAAATCTAGTGTAATGGGAGAGAGAATGGGAAGTAAAATTATCAAAATCAAATAGAGTAAATAATGGCATGTGTGTGGGGAGCATCTAGCTAAATAATGGAGACCATCAAATGTGATTAGCTAATCAGCATATCATTTAATATTATTATAAAAATAACATGAACTCTTTATAAATATTTAGATAATTCACAGATATAAAATAAAATAGAGACTTAAAAAAATTTTCCCCACTTCCCAATCCTTTTCTCTACAGTTTGACATATATCTTTCCAGATATTTTTCCATATGCTTCTGCATACATGAGTTTCTAACATTTGTTTGCTGGATCATATTGTTTTGTAACTGGCTTCTTGCACTGACTACATATGATGGACATCCTACCATGTTACTGTATGTGTCTCATTCATGTTAATGACTGTATAATATTCCACAGTAGGAAAGTACTGTAATTTATTTAATATTCTCATTGATGATGGATATTTGGACTTTATTCAATTTCTAAGAAAGATAATTGAGAACAGAGACCACATGTTTAAACGTATACCTAAGAAGGATAGCAAAACTATTACATATATGTTGTAAAACATGTTCCCATCTGTCTGCATCTATACATCCCATATATATGAAATTGGTAACATGAAAATAGAAGGGAATAATTGAAAAGGGAGAAAATATACAAGTAAGTTTGTCTTTACTTAAATAATTTAAGAAATTTGGCCTAATCCTGGGTTCATAAGAAATTTACTTCAGATTGCCCTGGCCAGAACTTCCAACACTATGTTGAATAGGAGTGGTGAGAGAGGGCATCCCTGCTTTATGCCAGTTTTCAAAGGGAATGCTTCCAGTTTTTGCCCATTCAGTATGATATTGGCTGTGGTTTTGTCATAAACAGCTTTTATTATTTTGAGATAGGTTCCATCAATACCTAGTTTATTGAGAGTTTTTAGCATGAAGGGCTGTTGAGTTTTGTCAAAGGTCTTTTCTGTATCTATTGAGACAATCAAGTTGTTTTTGTCTTTGGTTCTGTTTATGTGGTGGATTATGTTTACTGATTTGCATATGTAGAACCAGCCGTGCATCCCAGGGATTAAGCCGACTTGATCTTGGTGGATAAGCTTTTTGATGTGCTGCTGGATTCAGTTTGACAGTAATTTATTGAGGATTTTCGCATCAATGTTCATCAGGGGTATTGGTCTAAAATTCTCTTTTTTTGTTGTGTCTCTGCCAGGCTTTGGTATCAGGATGATGCTGGCCTCATAAAATGAGTTAAGGGGAATTCCCTCTTTTTGTATTGATTGGAATAGTTTCAGAAGGAATGGTATCAGCTCCTCTTTGTACCTCTGGTAGAATTTGACTGTGAATCCTTCCAGTCCTGCACTTTTTTTGGTTGGTAAGCTATTAATTATTGCCTCAATTTCAGAGCCTGTTATTGGTCTATTCAGAGATTCAACTTCTTCCTGGTTTAGTCTTGGGAGGGTGTATGTGTCCAGGAATTTATCCATTTCTTCTAAATTTTCTAGTTTATTTGCATAGCGGTGTTTATAGTATTCTCTGATGGTAGTTTGTATTTCTGTGGGATTGGTGGTGATACCCCCTTTATCATTTTTTATTGCATCTATTTGATTCTTCTTCTTTTCTTCTTTATTAGTCTTGCTAGTGATCTATCAATTTTGTTGATCTTTAAAAAAAAAAAAAAAACAGCTCCTGCATTCATTGATTTTTTGAAGGGTTTTTGGTGTCTCCGTCTCCTTCAGTTCTGCTCTGATCTTAGTTATTTCTTGCCTTCTGCTAGCTTTTGAATGTGTTTGCTCTTGCTTCTCCAGTTCTTTTAATTGTGATGTTGGAGTGTCAATTTTAAATCTTTCATGCTTTCTCTTGTGGGCATTTAGTGCTATAAATTTCCCTCTACACACTACTTTAAATGTGTCCCAGAGATTCTGGTATGTTGTGTCTTTGTTCTTATTGGTTTCAAAGAACATCTTTATTTCTGCTTTCATTTCATTATTTACCCAGAAGTCATCCAGAAGCAGTTTATTCAGTGTCCATGTAGTTGTGCAGTTTGGAGTGAGTTTTTTAATCCTGAATTCTAGTTTGATTGCACTGTGGTCTGAGAGACAGTTTGTTGTGATTTCTGTTCTTATACATTTGCTGAGGAGTGCTTTACATCCAACTATGTGGTCAACTTTGGAATAAGTGTGATGTGGTGTGAGAAGAATGTATATTCTGTTGATTTGGGGTGGAGAGTTCTGTAGATACCTATTAGGTCCAGTTGGTACAGAGCTGAGTTCAATTCCAGAATATCCTTGTTAACCTTCTGTCTCATTGATCTCTGTAATATTGATAGTGGGGTGTTAAAGTCTCCCACTATTATCATGTGGGAGTCTAAGTCTCTATGTAGGTTTCTAAGGACTTGCTTTATGAATCTGGGTGCTCTTGTATTGGGTGCATATATATTTAGAATAGTTAGCTCTTCTTGTTGAATTGATCCCTTTACCATTATGTAATGGTCTTCTTTGTCGCTCTTGATCTTTGTTGGTTTAAAGTCTGTTTTATCAGAGACTAGGATTGCAATCGCTTGCTTTTTTTTTTTTTTTTTCCTTTCCATTTGCTTGGTAGATCTTCCTCCATCTCTTTATTTTGAGCTCATGTGCATCTGTGCATGTGAGATGGGTGATCTCGCCCATGTGAGATGGGTCTCCTGAATACAGCACACTGATAGGTCTTGACTCTTTATCCAATTTGCCAGTCTGTGTCTTTTAATTGGGGCATTTAAAGGTATTCAGTTAGGAAAAGAGAAAGTCAAATTACCCTTTTTGCAGATGACGTGATTGTATATTGAGAAAACCCGATCATCTCAGCCCAAAATCGCCTTAAGCTGATAAGCAACTCCAGAAAAGTCTCAGGATACAGAATCCATGTGCAAAAATCACAAGCATTCCTATACACCAATTACAGACAAACAGCAAGCCAAATCATGAGTGAACTCCCATTCACAATTGGTACAAAGAAAATAAAATACCAAGGAATCCAACTTACAACGGATGTGAAGGACCTCTTCAAAGAGAACTACAAAACCACTGCTCAATGAAATAAGAGAGGACACAAACAAATGGAAGAACATTCCATGCTCATGGATAGGAAGAATCAATATCATGAAAATGGCCATACTTCCCAAGGTAATTTATAGATTCAATGCCATCCCCATCAAGCTAACTATGACTTTCTTCACAGAATTGAAAAAAACTACTTTAAAGTTCATATGGAACCATAAAAGAGCCTGTATTGCCAAGATAATCCTAAGCAAAAAGAACAAAGCTGGGGGCATCATGCTACCTGACTTCAAACTTTACTACCAGGCTACAGTAACCAAAACAGCGTGGTACTGGTACCAAAACAGAGATATAGACCAATGGAACAGAACAGAGGCCTCATAAATAACACCACACATCTACAACCATCTGATCTTTGACAAACTTGACAAAAACAAGAAATGGGGAGAGGATTCCCTGTTTAATAAATGGTGCTGGGAAAACTGGCTAGTCATATGTAGAAAGCTGAAACTGGATCCCTTCCTTACACCTTATACAAAAATTAATTCCAGATGTATTACAGGCTTAAATGTTAGACCTAAAACCTTAAAAACCCTAGAAGAAAACCTAGGCAATGCTATTCAGGCCATAGGCATGAGCAAGGACTTCATGACTAAAACACCAAAAGCAATGGCAACAAAAGCCAAAATTGACAAATGGGATCTAATTAAAGTAAAGAGCTTCTGCATGGCAAAAGAAACCACCATCAGAGTGAACAGGCAACCTATAGAATGGAAGAAAATTTTTACAATCTACCCATCTGACAAAAGGCTAATATCCAGAATCTACAAAGGACTTAAATTTACAGGAAAAAATCAAACAACCCCAAGTGGGCAAAGCATATGAACAGACACTTCTCAAAAGAAGACATTTATGCAACCAACAGACACATGAAAAAATGCTCATCATCACTGGTCATCAGAGAAATGCAAATCAAAACCACAATGAGATAGTATCTCATACCAGTTAGAATGACGATAATTAAAAAGTCAGGAAACAATAGATGCTGGAGACGATGTGGAGAAATAGGAACACTTTTACACTGTTGGTGGAAGTGTAAACTACTTCAACCATTGTGGGAGACAGTGTGGCGATTCCTCAAGGATCTAGAACTAGAAATACCATTTGACCCAGCAATCCCATTACTG